TCATATGTATGTGAAAGTTGTACATTGAGTAAAGAAGACTGAAAAAAATTAAAGTCTTTGAATTATGGTGCTGGCAAAGCATGTTTAAAGGAATAAGGACCGCCAAAGGAACAAACAAATCTCTCTTGGAAGAAGGCCAGCCACAATGTTCTTAGAGTCAGACATGACTGGACTTCACCTCACTTATTTGGACTTGTCAGGAGAGACCAGTCCCTGGAGGAGGACATTGTGCATGGTAACGTAGAGGAGGCCTGTCCCTGGAGGAGGACAGTGTGCATGGTAACGTAGAGGAGGCCAGTCCCTGGAGGATGATGTAGAGGAGGCCGGCACCTGGAAGAGGACTTTGTGGTAACGTAGAGGAGGCCGGTCCCTGGAGAAGGACAGTGTGTGTGGTAACATAGAGGAGGCCGGTCCCTGGAGGAGAACATTGTGTGTGGTAACGTAGAGGTGGCCGGTCCCTGGAGGAGGACAGTGTGTGTGGTAACGTAGAGGTGGCCGGTCCCTGGAGGAGGACGTAGAGGAGTCCGGTCCCTGGAAGAGGACTTTGTTTGTGGTAACATAGAGGAGGCCCGTCCCTGGAGGAGGACAGTGTGCATGGTAACGTAGAGGAGGCAGGCCCTGGAGGAGGACATTGTGCATGGTAACGTAGAGGAGGCAGGCCCTCGACGAGACGGCTTGACACAGTGGTTGCGACAGTGGGCTCAAGCTTAACCACAGTTGTGAAGACGGCTCGGGCTGGGTCGTTTTCGCTCTGTTGAATATGGAGTCAGAACGGACTTGATGGCGCCTACTATCAATAGAATAAAATGGGCCCAAAGGGACAGTAACTTAGGATATCTTAAACTCTGACTTAACAATTCTGCAGTAATGCACTGCGCAATGCGCTCTGTTGGCCAGCAAGACTACTCACATGCCTCGTCAATAGGCGGAGGGAGTTCAATGGAGGCTTACACCGTGTGGGGATTCTACACATGGATTTTGGGCTTTCACTGTCATTCAGAACTTTCTGCCAACTGGCTATTTAGAATTTGAGCTTTAATAAAAGTCCTTCCTCTAATTTTGGATTTTGTTATCTACAAATCTTAGATGACATGGGCTCATGTGCACCTTCTGTGTGGATGTCGGTCAGCTCTCACTTAAATAGAGGACTTTTTGTTGTAAGACAAGCTATTTTTGTTTTAAGACGCTATTCTTTCTGATAGCCAAACACCATCTGATTTCTTCACAACACTTTACAAGCGTACCTTCAGTGATCATTTCAGGAGGGCAAGTATTCAGCAGGATCACATTTTAAGAACTAATTGTTCTTAAATTAGAATTTGCAATGAACGATGAGCTCAAAATCCATTCGCGTATTTAAAGTTGATGTATATCTATATCCCTGGCCTGCTTGAGCAGCGGCACTCTCAGCTTGTTGAGAAATAATTTAAGTAACTCTATGAAATGTTCGCCTTTATCAGTTTTTTCATGTTCTCCCTGGGAAACTTCCCACTGCCAACAAGGCAATACAGTCCTAAGCAGTTCCCGGGGTTGTCAGGGAAACAAATATAGATGTGTGCTGAGGGCAGAATAAGGATTGTCTGATAAAGGACAGAGGTGGGAAATGACATGCGCTTTTGTTCTCAAAGCTGCCACTGTTTTGTTTTGAATAGATTTTACAATCGTAAATTTTCCAAGAATTATTCTATTTATTTGTTGATTTGTCGTCCTTTAGAAACATTTGAGCATGTGTTTATTCATTAGATATGTGTTTTTTGCTTGACATATTCCAAGATTGTACAAGACGCTGGAATCTACTTGTTTTTATTTTTCCTGCTAAACATTTAACAATTGAAATGGCAACCCCAACCAAAAATACATATTCTCATTTCTATTTTTGATTCATATATTTTAAACCCCTCAAACTAGTAGCCCTACTAGAAAAGAAAAATACCAGATGGGTACTAGTTTTTCAAGAGAAGCATGTCTACAATGACACCAAATTATTGTTTTGGCATTTAAGCTAGGGCAATCACCAAGGTCCTTGAAAAATTTGCATGCAAGACAAAATTATCTTTAACTCACTTACACATTTCTTTTTCTATCCTTTTTCCTATCTTTGGAGTTTTTTTCCTTCTGTTATTTATTTCTTTATTATGAATTTTATTCATTCACTCACCATCCAACTCTTCACCATATAAGAATAAAGTGCATCACCAGTGGAGAAACAAAAATATGGGAGAGAAGGACCTTATTTTAAGAAGTTGCAGACCTAGTCATAACAACAACATATGGAGGAATGTGATAAATGCCATTGAGTGTACGTAGTTGTGAGAGTCCAAAGGATATAAAGCACCTATGTTTCATCCCAACGGAGATTTGCCTCCCTTGAAATACTTCTAAAGTACTCCTTCCTCTCAATTAGTGATTCTTAGCTTTGACTGTACCTGGCACCTGCAGAGCTTTGAAAGGTTTTGATGCATTTGCCAAGCTACAGATCTATTTAAAAAACAAACAAAAAAATCTGTCTGGGGCTGAGGCTGAGACTCAGACAACAGTATTTAAAAAATGATGATTCAAATATGCAGGCTAAGTTAAGAACCACTATTTCAAACATCTCTTCCTTTAAATACCTTGTTACACAAATTTCTGCTCTATCTTTCCACATTTTTGTGGAGAGGAACACATGATGGAACTACCAGAGAAAAGATTCACTTTTGCTTTTCCTATTAATAATAGCAGCAAAAACCAACCAATCAAATCAAACACAAAACAATCCAGAAAAGAACCCCAAACAAGCATGTAAACAAACAAAAACAAATCAATAACAACAAAACCACTAGCCTTTTAAAGCTCTTGAGCGAAGAATTAAAAGGTGCCAAAAATAATATCAAAACATCTTAGTAATCAGTGATTCATGATGGAAGTGAGAATAAAGTGGCAAGAAAGGCAATTCTTCCCATATGATGCAGTTTAGAGACCCTGGGGAGAACTGCAACCTTCCGAGGAAGGTGAAACAGGACAGGCTAAGCCTATCTAGGTAGAATATGGTGTAGTGGTTCCGTGTTGGGCTGCAATCGGCAAGGATGGCAACTTGAGACCACCAGCCGCTCTGAGGGGAAAGACCAGGCTTTCTGCTCTCACAAGGAGTTACAGTCTTGGAAATCCACAGGGGCAGTTATACCTTGCCCCCTAGGGTCGCTGTGAGTCAACTTCAAATCCATGGCAGTAAGTTTGAGAGGTAGTCGATGGGCAAGGCTTGGAAAATAGAACATGTATGATAGCAGAAGTCCCGTTTGTTTAGAAAATAGATCTTTAGAATTGATTCCAATATATTTCAAATTGGATTGGTGATCAATTATAAGATCATTTTCTAGGACATTATCCTGTAAAGGCAAGACAAAACGTAGGACTAAGATAATGACCTAGAGTGTGCTAGGTGGGCGGTAGTTAGGAAATTCTAACAAAGAACCCTTAAATTTAGCCACCACTAAGAAATTGTGAAATGTTTGGAAGAGACATGAAATCTGTTGTCGGTGAATAAAAAGCTAAGTAAAAAAGTCATCTATTTGGAAGAGTTCTGTTTCACCATGGTGCCCCCGAAGCCATCTTTCTCTGTTTGGCCCCTTCATATTATTGGAAGTGAAGTAGAGTCAGAAGTCTATGAATAAATGAACCAAACTCCCGATTGATTTCTGTCTGGTGGAACTTAGATGCGAGTTTAATCCTCTATAGTTCTAATTTCTCACCAGTGAACTGGGGATAATAATTTCTAGAACAATATACTTGAGGCTCCTCCTTCCTTTTTTGGTTGCTGTAATCCCTAAGGCAACTCAAATCCTTGGAGATTTAAGGAGGATGCAAATTGTATACAACACAAATCTGCCAAAGGTAAATGTCAATTCTTGCAGGGGGGTGGACAGGGAGAGGGGGGACTGCGTGGCTCCAGAGCAGAGCCTCCTCCCATGAATATGCTGGCTGAAATTGCCAAGGGCAAGTGGCTGAGCATATATGATCCCGAAAAGTGTTTTCTCTAGAAAAATATGTCAAACTACAAAGGCTAATAGGATCCTTACAGATCTGGGGTGGGCCTGGGGAGGAGCTGGCAAACTGGGAAGCAAGCATGTGTGCTCTACAAGGTGTAGTCTCTGAATGTCTGTCTAGCAGATTGCTGTCACGCAGATATTTAGACACAGTTGTTGCCAGGTTTTATTTTTTTTCAAGAAAAGTTATAAGTCCAGATTTTTAATGTGAAATTACCTCGATAAGAATTGAGTTTTAATTCCATTCAAATATCTCAACATGATACGGGTAAAGCAAAACACATCTGAATATATACAATCGCTTTCACACCAGTTTGCCACCTGTGGATTTTGAATGTCCCACATTCAATGTTTTTTACACCAAGAGCCCAAACGTAATTGCATTCATTATCCAGAATAATAACAAGAGCCCATTCCAAAGACTAAAAGTACAGTTATATCCACATATTTGCATAAATGTTTCTAGTTGCTTATATTTTACTGTTCACAAGGTATTCTTCTGTGAACAGCTTCTTGGGGTAGAGTTACAAAACAATGATATTTGTTGCTACTTGCTAAAATGCACTGGCTTTGTTTCCTGCACCACAGTCTTCTATCTATATTTTAACACACCCGGTGACTGATTTCAATTCCTCAGGACTCAATTTTATTTTGCATTATTATGGGTATGTAAAACTATAATGAGTCTTAACATTTGAAAAGCTGAGTAGCTTGTAAAAAGCTTACAAAAAAGATTAGAGAAACAGCCTTCCATCTCACTTAGAACTAGGCTAATGTCCTTGGCCTGATATCTTTGACTTTAGACTGGTTAAAAATTCTAGTCATACCTTCAACAATGCCATGTTTAGATTTGTCGTCCCGTCTGACTTCCTGCTGAAAACAAGGACATTTCCATATATTCAATGCAATGAGTTCCCAGTCTGGGAAATGAATTAAACTTTATGCATACTGGTAGACTGAAAAGACTTGCCAACTCACCCATAGAATGTAAGATAGAGGAAACCGATCCTTTTCCCAAGCTTTAAAATTTCTCCTCGCTTGTCAGATGCTCCAGTGAGTCGCACTATGCCTACTTTCTTGAGAGTGGAGAGCCACTTGTATGCATGTTCATCATTTGTTAAAACATCTTCAAAATCCAAATTAGGTAGCTGTAACTCTGAGCCCCAGTACTGACATTCTGCGAATTAAGAAAGTAGAAACATGATAGGGTTATGTTGTTTTTATGCACAACAGCAACTTCAAATAAGAATTAGTCTAGTATAATTGATTTTTTAAACATTTATCATGGGGTTTACTTTATTTTAGACACTCTAGAAGAGACCAAGCCACCAAACTTCTTTTCTCTGAAACCATACCAAGGAAAATAATCCAGATATTAATTACTGCATCCGGAGAGACTAACTATAGATGAACAGTTTGATTTCTTTTTGGTCTTTGTCATATATTGTTATGAAGGTCAAACCTTAGACCTCCTCCTCATGACTCTTGCTGGCCTGTAACAAAACACTCTGTTGCCGCTGGGTTGATTTTAACTCACGGTGACCCTGTAGGCATTAGAACAGAAGTGTGCTCCTTAGGTTTCCAATGCCTGTGTTTTTCAGATGTAGATTAGGAAATCGTCCCTCTGAAGTGCCTATAGTGGATTTGAATCTCCAGCCCTTCTGAGATCAAGATTTGTTCAACTCTTTACAATATGCAGAAGTACTCTGACATGTAATAGACACACAATATGCATCCCTTGCCAAGGGAATGTTGTTTGGTGTATGGATGAGTCTGGATCTGTGTATCCTTAGGGCTAGCTGCCTGTATACTTCTTAGAAATAATCTTGAGGTATGATATGTGCTAGAGCCAAGTCATATCGATCAACTTCAACAGGAAGACAAAATTGGAATGGTGAATTAGAGCAACATATTTTCATTACAAACGAGAACCTTTGTCCTCGCAGGTAAAGCTCATTCCCCATTTTGTTTTGCCTGATAACAACAGTCTCTTCTTCCAGAATATTTTTGAGAGTGACTAAGTGCAAGCTATGAAGAAGAGAACATGAGTATATGACCCGCGGATGCACAGAAACCTTAGTGACAGTGCCACAAGAAAGACAACCAAATGCCTTCCTTTAGTTTTCTGAATTCTCATCACTAAATGCTCACAAAAATATTTACTTGAAAAAGCATAAGAAAAGCATGATTGTCTTATAAAACAGTCTCTCATCACAGATGAAAACTAATTTTACCCACAGAAAAAACTCAGACATCAACTACTGCATTCAGAAAATACTAACTATAGTCAATCAACTTGTGAAGGTCAAACCTTATTAACATGTGAGATAAGAAGTGAGCATTTCAATAGCACCTTGAGTGATGTCTAATGTTTTCTTATTTATTTGTGTCTAATATTTTCAACTGGAGAATGTACATCATATCATATGATACTTCATATCGTAGAACCCATCAATGCATTTTTTGCATTAAAAATTACTGAAAATTGGAATGTGGAAGTTGGAAAAGAGGAAAGTTCAATTGCTGGGAAAATATGACCTTGGTAATAGAAATGAAGCTGGGGATTGTGTGATAGAATTTTACAAGTCCAATGACTTCTTCATAGCCAATAAATGTTGTCTATTGACATGGACCTCACCAGATGGAATGAACAGGAATCAAATTACATACATCTGAAGGAAAAGACCACGGAGTAGCTCAATATTACCAACCAGAATAAAGCCAGTGGCTAATTGTGGAACAAACCATCAATTGCTCATATGCAAGCTCTGGTTAAAGCTGAAGAAAGTTAAAGCAAGTCTACATGCGTCAAAATACAACTTTGAGTATATCTCACTTGAATTAAAAGACTATCTGAAGAGCAGATTACTCACATTGAATAAATATGGATGGAAGACCAGGCAAGTTGTAGAATGACATCAAGAACATTATACATGAAGAACACAGTCACTAAAAAGACAGGAAAGAAAGACTAAGTAGATGTCAGAAGATACCCAGAAACTTGTTCTTTAATGTAGAGTCGCTAAAGCTATTTGAAGAGTTGAAAAAAAGAGCTGAACAGAAAATTTCAAGTTGTGGCTTGAGAGAACAAAGCAAACTCTTATAATCAATTATACAAACACAGTCAGCATTTCTCAAGCTAAATGAGCTGAATAAGAAATTCAAGCCAGGAGTGGCAATTCTGGGGTATTCTATGGGCAAAATAAGAAGCTCTGGTGGTGTAGGGTGTTACACCCCAAGGTCAGCAGTTTGAAACCACCAGCCTCTCTGGGAGAAAGACAAGGCTTTCTACTCCCGTAAAGATGTACAGTCGCAGAATCCCATAGGAGCAGCTCTATTCTGTCTTATAGGGTCACTATGAATCCAGATAGACCCTATGATGGTGAGTGAGTGAATGGACAAAATATGGAACAATGCAAGAAATATCAAAAGAAGATGGAATGAATACAAAAACTCACTGTAGCAAAAAGAACTGATTGACATTCAACCATTTTACGAAGTAGCATATGACCAAGTCTAGGGTATGGGGCAGTGTTACAAAGGACAGCCACAGACATAGCTTCTGTTTGCAAAGCTCCACAGCGCAACCAGCAAGATGTGTGGGATTCATGTCTACAAAATGTGTAGCTGCCTCCAAAATATAAATACTCTGGAATTTTCCTTTGTTCCCTCTCTCTCTTGCTTCTTCTGACCCCTGCTTGCTACCTAAAACACCTGTGGTTCTCTCTCTCTCTCTCTTTGCCATTGCATTGATGTCATCTCAGAGAGACCTTGCCGTGGGTTTCCAAGACTGTGGCACCAGAGCCTTGAACTCTTTCCTCGCCGGACTCTTGTAGTTTGCCAGTGGGTCTGTATTAAACCTCATTTTCTCTTCCTTTATGTAATAGCGGCTTTCATGGGCTTTATTCCTTTTAAGTTAGTGAAGTCTCTGGCTTTAGACAATGGGCCAGCTCTAACCTTCCTTTATCTGGCTGTCTACACTCCTTTCACCTCATTTCCTTTGATTTCCTCTTCCCTACAAACCTCATCTCCATCAATAAACCTATTAATTAAAGGTCTCGCTCTGTCTCTTGTCTCTGAAAGACCTTACACCAAGGCTTGATGATATTGAAGGAGGAAAATTTCACTCTGGACTGGAATCATGAGCAAAAATCAGGCTCCAGGAACTGAAAGAATATGAATAGAAAATTTAAAAAACCCTGAGGAGTGCTTGAAATACTTACTAGTCTATAGTAAGAAATTAAGAACATAGTAACTTGACCACTGATTAAAGTAAATTCAAAGAAAGTTGACCTAATAGAAAGCATGGGTTATGGAACAATATAATTAATATCCCATTCCAGTAAAATTTTGTTGAAGACCATTCAACAATGCTTGCAGCAGTACATTGACAAGGAACTGCCAGGAATTCAAGCCAGATTTAGAAGAGTATATGGAATAAAGGACATCATTGCTGGCAAAAGCTAGGTCTTGGCAGAAGACAAGCAGAAAATATAAGAATGGTGCTTGCTTATTCTTTATGAACTAAGCAAAGGCCTAAGACTGTGGATCATAAGAAACTTTGGATAACATTCTGAATAATGAGTATTCTAGAGCACTTAATTATGGTCATGTGAAACTTGTATATAAACCAAGAGGCGGAACAAATGGATGATTCATTGTTTAAAATAAGAAAAGATTTGTTTCGGGTTTTATCCTTTCACCCTACTTATTCAATCTGTGTATTGAGAAAGAATCTGAGAGTCTGGACTATGTGAGGAAGATTGAGTCATCAGGATTGGAAGAAGGTTTACAATGACCATGTGATGTACAGACAACACAATTTCCCTTGTTGAAGGAGAAGACTGGAAGCACTTGCTGATGAAAATTAAAGGCTGCAATTTGCAAGATAGATATCAACTCAGTGTATCGAACACTAAAAGCCTCACAGCTGGACCTGTATACAACATCAAGATAAATGGAAAAGACACTGAAGTTATCAAGGCTTTCATTTTACTTCAGTTCACAATCAACACTCAAGGAAGCAGCAGTCAAGAATCAAATGAACTATTGCAATTGGGTGCATCTGCGGCACGAGACTTCTTTAAAGGGTTGGAGAGCAAAGACAAATGACTAGGGAAGCCCTAAGAAGAATTCACACATTTGCATTGTGATGTTCACAAGTAGTATTGAAAGTGCTGTGAGGTCAGGATAATGAAACTCCATATTATGTACTTTGGACATGTTATCAGGAGAGATTAGTCCCTGGGAAAGGACATAAGCCTTAGCAAAACAGAGGGTCAATGACAAAGAGGAACACCCTTAAGGAGCTGGATTGATAAAGTGGTTGCAACAATGGATCGCGTCATAAGAATCAGTATGAGGATAGTGTAGGACCAAGCAGTGTTTCATTCTGTGACATCTGGGGTCTCTATGTGTCAGAGCCGACTCAACAGTACCTCCCAACAACAAAAGAATATAACCCTAAATCCCCCAGTTTTAAAATGCAGAATGGGCTAGTGTCCTCTTGTCAGCGTTGTAGACTAGAAATCATTCCCTCTTAGAAGCCTCCAGTCATGTTTCTGCACAAACACGGCTTCCTGAGGCACCAGAGTGAGTGCCTTTATTTCAATAGATATATGCAGATATGAGAAGCCGCTTCTTGCTCTTTCACAACTGCATAGGGGTGAGTAGGTGCATGCATGTGGAAAAACCCAATTAGTCTCTAAATGCATATATTGCCAAAGGCTTTTCTTTAATAGGCATAAATAACTTGTCTAATGAATCAAAATTTCTGAGGTTTAAATCACGAACTGTAAATTATGTCTCCCTGGAACCTTCATAAAGGCCCACTAGAGGTGATGTGAGATGAACACTGGGCTGCTAATCACACTGCCCAGAGTTCAAACCCACCAGCTGCTCCTCAGGGGAACATCAGGCTGCTTGCTCCTGTAAACATTTGTTGTGGTGGTGGTTGTTTGGTGCTATCAAGTCAGCTCTGACCCCCAGCAACCCTGAGTACCAAAGAGCAAAACACTGCCTGAGCCTTTCTGTGGCAGAAAGATCAAGCATGCAATCAAAATGCATCAATACTTACTGGTGATTCTAATACAAACATTTGAAACTAAAGGAAAGCTCAGTCATTAGAAAATATGGCTCTGGTGATAGAAATGAAGCTGAAGATTTCATGATAAAACA